GAGAAATTATCCCAAGAAGAAATGGTATCGGGGTAAGAATGATATTTTGACAAGTCCGATCGGATTTAGCTTTAAGGTTTGGAGGGAATCGAGGATGATGCAGTATTTTAATGGGTTTTTAGAGTCAGGGATTTACAACCAGATTTCCAATAGGCTAACGATTAATGCGACAATATTGAGAGAACGGGAGGCCAAAAGGGGTAAGGGTAAGGGTGAGGGTAAGAAGGGTCAAGGTCACACGTCCTACATGGACGTCCGCCTGGAGGACAATATTCAAACCGTTTTTATCCTGTTGGGGACCTGTCTAGGGGTTTGTGTTCTAATTGCGGGCATTGAGTATGCGATGTATATATTATGGTCATGGGGGTTATGCAGGTTTAATGACAAGGATTTAATTAAAGCTTTGACTTAAGGCTTACGGATGATGGTCTCCCACCAATGGCCTCCCCCCAGTCGCCTCCAAGTAATGGCATCTTGAGGAAATTAGCTTCCCATATCAACAGCTTCCCTTTCCAATTGCCTCCCACCCAATCTCCTCTCGTTCAATCGCCTCCCAGACTAATCGCGCCCCACCCAAAAACCTCCCATAATAAATGCATGCCTTGGTTTTTCAATAGTCAATTTATCCAAATCCTAACAGTGTCATATTTAAAACCTACTTGGAGGCGATTAGGTTGTGCCTATTGGTGGGGGACGATTTTCTTTAACTCCTAGTTTCAGTCCATTAAGAATGCGCTATCATACATATTCATGTAAAGTGAATGCAGTGTTTCCATATTTTAACTTATTTTAATAACTAACTAATTTATTTAGCTTATTTTAATCTCCAGACTAATTTAACTATGTATGAAGCATGCTAACCTCCTATCATCCTCAATGTATTGCAAGCTCATTGCATAACTTAATTAATTATCTAATTATGTATGGCTCAGCTTGTCTTGAAAACCTTGACCGGCCTATGACAAAACCCAAATTATACATAATTATCTTTCATATCCACTCGTTCAACCAATGTCAACAAGTCACGACCGATCCGTCTCTCAATCGGTCTCATCTGCCACACAATTAATGTTTACACTATGTATCTTTCTGACTAAATAAAACTCTAAATATACAATACGAAATGCGATTTCTCAACGAAAATATTGTAAATTGAGTGCTTACGGTGGGCTGAGACATTAAACCTACATATAAATACATATATCAATTAGTTGGAAAGTTAAACTTTACCAACGAGCTTGGAGGTAACCCCATCGTAAGTACTTGTTTATGTAAATTAGCCTTGGCGTATTTATCTTTTTCTAGAAATACAGTTTATGTAAACCGTCCATATAACTTATTTTTTGTCAAGATTTTAAAGCAAATTAATTATAAATTAAATTAGGTAAATACTAAATACATCCAGAACAGAATAACTTTAATGACTATTTCCTCTTAAAAGTTGGAATATTCAATTTGGTTGTCAATCCACAAAAACTTCTATGTGCGCTCGGTCGTACGCAACAAGAACATTTTTACAAACAAAATTTTTACCATGTTGATGATATGTTTTGGTTTTTAGACTACGTTTTATTAAATTATATTATTTCAACTTCCTGGCAAACATTTGTCTAAAAATGAGTTATATAAGTGAAACTTTCTCATAATTAATGACCCCACGTGTCTTCAGGTTACATACATGGAAACATATACATCCTAAACTATTGCCATGTACGCATTGCCGAGCAAGACTTCTTACGAAATGGACATCGACACCATTTGGCCCGTCGTTCAAACTTACGTTACAGGATTTCGCTACCTTTGGCGATTTCCGATCTATTTTATTCCCAGAAACAAAACCTTCGTTCATTTACACCGTGATAGCTTCCAGTATCGCGTCTGGGCAGCCGTCGTCCCCACAAATATGGTTTTGTTCCTGCTTTCTTCAATCGGGATTCTTCTCTGGGCTAATTTCTCCAAGGTTAATGTGCCCTCCATTAGTACAATAATGATGGCGCTGTTCGGCACGTTTCTCTCATTCTTCTACACGATGACGTGCTTTGGGGCAATGCGATGGATGGAGGGGTGTGCCTATACGGGAAACCAGATGGCAAAGGACCATAGTGACTTGATTAGAGGTAAGTTTGTCTCCAACTTGATCATATTTTCGTGCCATGCCCAAAACAGTGCGTGCAGAGCAAAAAGGTAGGCAGTGCCTTTTTGCCTATTTGCCCCACAAAAATGGGTGCCTGTTTGTACTTTTGCTAATTGGGGTAAGGAGAGACGCATATGTAACCGTGGGATAAAATTAAAGCGAAAGCTTTTTATTGCGGTTTTTATACTTTCCCAAATATAATCTTTACCCCAAAATTTGGTTAATTAGGCTGATGACGATTTAAAAACTACATATTTAGGAAAGAGTATTCAACTAATTTGTAATATCGATACAAGCCAGAACCCTCCGATACAATTTCAAAAACTGCAAATAGAGGGGTAAGAAAAAGTATTGAGACACTTGGTCCTAGGTCCTTTTTAAGGGTCAAAAAATGAATTTAAAAATGTCAAAATTTGGTGTAATATGCTAAATATATCGAACTCCGAAGCCACAAAGTTTCATGCCTTTAAAATGAAACATAAATTTACCCTTTCAAAGCGACGAACTCGCGAATCGAGTTTTACGGAAGCACCAAAATTTGATTGACAAAGACTCTCAGAAGGCTTGACTACATTTCAACGGAGAAGAGGATGGGGGTGCAAAAATTAAGACTTACAAGAAAAAGTATAGAGAATCCGAAAATGTCAACCTCGAATTCCCACCATGACAAAAAAACATCATAATGACCCATTTTAAGTTAAAAACGATTGAATTTATTTTCGGAAAATGTCGCTCCACGTCCATGGATGATGCGGCCAAACGGTCAATGGTAAATTCAAACCACTTCCATCATATTAAGGCCCATAAATTGTGGGTCAAAGCGTGTACAAATAAATCTTCAGTAAACCACACGGAAGGTCAAGAAAAAATGGTAAACGCAAGACCTTACAAGCTCTACAATAAAATTTGACCAAAAACATTAGTCACTGACGACGAGTCCTACGTTCTTAAAAAACTGCTAGAAACTCCGGGAAGGGAATTTTTTAATGACAAATATATGTCTCAAGTGAAAACTGAAGAAAAATTAAAATAATGTTGAATATTTCTGAAGAAATTTCAAATTTGGCAGGCAGCAAAATACATGGTGATCAAATGGCAGTTTGATTTTGAAAAATGAAAACCCTCCAAATGTCCCTAATTTTCGCCCCAACGAAAGATGATGGACTTTATGTAAGAAGACATACTTCCAGTTTCGTGATACTTTTAGAAAATTTCGGTTCCAGTAGGAGAAAATTGAAAATGATATTGCAAAGTCTTCCGAAAAAACCAGTAATGGCCGGCGTGATGTAAAGAGTTAAATACGAGATGGATAATTGATTAAAGTATTCTTTGTCCACGAATATCTTTGACTATATATATTTAACATATTATACCAAAATTTGAGATTTGTAGAATCATTTTTTGACGATTTACAAGGAAAAAGGTCCAAGTGTCTCAATGCTTTTTCTTACCCCTCTATATTCTTTGCTTTATTTTATATGCGGTAAACTACAAGAAATTGGGATCAAACGTCAAAACTCTAGCAGAAAAGCATGAAACAGGCAAAAAGCAACAAAAAGGGAAAATGGCATTGAAAAAGTCAGAAAGGCATGAAGAAATAGCAAAACGCCTTCCTTTTTGTACACACTGGTCCAAAACCACCACTATAGTAATAACAGGTAGCATACATAAATCTTAAATTTCGCTTCTTTTTTCCTTTAGTATCTTCCTCTACTCCCGGAATAATTGTGACCCGATCCAACCCCCTTCGACTCCGTCTCGAGATAAAATTCCTACAGCAAGTCATGGTTCAAATATCACTAACTCCCTTCATAATAATCCCGCTCCTCCTCTTCACGGGTATGGATAACCCCAACATCCTCTACAAGATCATCCTCACCGCCACCAAAACCAAAGCTACCCCTCCCTTGACCATACTTTCCTGGGCTGGCCGATGCTTCAACATACTCTTCTGCGCGTTCGAAGGTTCCCGCATGATTGGTTGCGTCGGTCTGATCGTTTTTATGCGCATCCTGGGGTACATTTCGTACCTGAACGAGCTCTCGAACCTTCTGCGGGGCAAAACGAAAAGTTCAAAATTTACCGTTTATAAAGGCGTCCTCCGTTTCTACGATAGGATTCGGTTAAGTTTGAAGCATGAGCGGGAAATGATAAGTAATTTATCGGCAATCGTGCTATTCACGATGTTTACTTTCTTGTTAACGAATAATTTTATCTGTTTAAAAATGCACGACGTTTTTCCACCGCACTTTTTCGCTTTTTTCCCCACATCAACCCTAACCGCGTATGGGGTTTTGCATCTCGGAGTTTATGCGGTTTTACTATTAACGAATAAATCGGCGGGGGTGCTGGCCGAAATGCGGGAAGGGGTGGGGTCAGTGAGGATGAGGGTGAGGAGGAAGTGGTTGAAAAGAAGGGTGGAGTCGGTGGGTAAGTTGGAAGTTCCGGTGGGGATTGGGAGTTTTGTATTGTTTCACTTTAGCAATGGGACGAGGACGACGTTCTACTTGTTATTGTTGGATAATACTATTAATCTTTTGTTGTCAGTACATTTATAGGCATACGTGTTCATATTCATTGAATTATACCGAAATGGAGGTATGAATGAATGAAGAATGAATGAATAATTCAGCATTTCAAAATGAATGAGTGTGTTCTTTATTCATTCATTTTTTTGCGAAATGTTAAATATATGGGACGAATGAATGAATTATTCATTAAATGAATAAAGAATGAATGAATAATTAAACTTGAATTTCGAAGTGAAGAAATTTGGAATGAAGAAAAAAATTGAATAGGTATGATCAGTATAGAATTATTTACACACACTTACACCAAATCATCCCTCTTAAAACTTGACCCACCTAAGAATCATGAATTTACATATTTCCAATAATCCGTTACTAAATGTATTTACTAAAAGTTTATGGAAATGCATGTGAGCACTAATTAGGAATTTTGACATGGCAGAGACAGACGACTTTTGACCCCTTCGTGTGTTACAAATTTTGTGAACATTCCCTTAGATTTGATTGGAAATATGAAAATGATTTGAAAAACCAGCACATCAGTAGATAAATGTACTCAATTTCTTCATTTTTTCACACATTTCCGCGTATATTTCTCATTTAAGGAAAGTTCCCACATACATTGATAACAATTTATTTATCATTTTTCCCAGTAAGCTATAACCAATAAACGACCCGTCTCGGCATAAAAGTCGTCAACTGCTTGTCCTTTTTCCACAGAGTGGGCCCATCCTGGAGGAAATATTTATCAAAGATTTCTCCCGCTCGGCCGTGATCTGTCACTTGCAGGATTCTATGTAATAATTAGGTCGCATTGTTATAAATGGTAGACTAAATCCTGCGACACAAATACAATTCAGGGTTGCACATGGGTTTTAAAAGAAAATCCGGGTTGCATGGTTTTACTATGCTTTTGTGCCTTTTAAGGCTTTCCCAAGAATTATTGTTGCATGTTTTTTTTGCATTATTGTAGCTAAGAATTAGAAGTCTCAGACTTGCCAGTTGGTGAATTGTATGCAAAATTTAATTGTGAACAAAGATCTGAAAAAAGAAACTCAAAATTCCGTTCCAAAATTAGATTAGAAACTTCAGACCAATTTGAAAAACGGATCTGTCACTACCACGAAAATATCTGTGCACAATCAAAGTGGACAACCCTTACAACGCAAGCTTTGCATTCAACATATACCTTGTAAAAAGCAGGGAAAACACGAAAATACATGAACGTCCCTGCTCAAAAACACTTTGTGGGGTGCAAGGTAAGGAAAACCCCGGGGTTTTGCTATTGAAACCCTTCACCCAGGGGTTTTACCTGGGTTGTGCGGGTAGTCGGGGTTTTAGGGGCAAACTGGGTCAGTGTCTCATGTATGTATTAAGTTGTGAAAACAATCTACTTTTTCAACAATTTCGCAACAAAGCTGCTCAGTAATTCAATTTCAATAATTTATTAAACTGCACAATTGTTAGTGAAACCCTGTTTATGAAATTTGAAAAGCCCGACCACCCCGACGACCCTTGGGTGTTGCTGAAATTTAGAACCCCAAAACCCACAAAATCCTAATATCCAAAAAACCCGGGTGGGATGTGATTACCAATATCTCACCTATCGCCCAACTCGTGAACGCGCTCTTCATTGAAGGATTTGGGAAATGCGATTCCTAAAGCAACATTGTTTTTATAGTTTCCCACCAAGATGGATTCGAAATGGACGGCTGCCTTAACGTGTGGCGATAAGGTGGGTTGATTGAAAATAGCAAGTCCAAGATCAGTTTTCTGGAATGCAAATAAATTATTTCAGTTATTTTCACCAACACGTTTTGCACAATATTCATATTACTGGGACTCTAAATGGAAAATGTAGTGTAGGGTTAGTGTGGACAGTTTTGAGAAAGATACAAATGCTTTGCCATATACATGCAGATAGTTGTACTGTAAAAATAATTATTTTAACATACTTACACAATGGATTAACTCAATTAATTATGACTTAATTTAATTCAATTAACTACTTATAACACGTTATATTACTAGAATAAAATTCTAAAAAATGTAGCTCCTGTTAGCAGTAAAAAATATTTGTCTACGCTAACACAGGGTTATTGTGGACACTTCGACATGTTTTCGTGTGGATTCAACTGTCTAAATACATACACTTCAAATTAATTTAAATCATACGTTTCCAGCTAGGTGATCCATGATCGAGTTGTTCGTCCAAGCCCCGGATTTAAACTGTCCAACCCAAGTGACCTCCGTGATTGTGCAATTGTCCAGAAACTTTCCGTCCTCGTCTGCACTGCGCAAGAGGTCGACCAAGATCCCGGAGTAGCAGGGACTGTGGCGGCAGGACGACTTGGCCACCGTCTTCTTGGAGGAGAGGCACGACGCGTTCGAAATTACCCAGGGATGGTCCTGTCATTTTCGGACATATTTGCATAAATCTTTATGCACACATAACTTGTAATATTCGCTAAACTAAATGGGAAATTGAGATATGAGACGAATGACCACAGCCATTAAATGGCGTTGAACATTTAATTTTGACTTCATTAAAACTAAAAAGTTTCGAAATTTTTGTTCTTCTGGTCGAAACCTGGACCCCAAATCCTCACACTTCGGCGCCGACTGTATCTGTGATCCGAACATTAAAAGAAGAGTACAATTTTTGGCAATTTCAACCACCATTTCTCTTTAATGACCTCGCTCGAGCTCAAGTGGTCGGAAAATTAAGATTTATTTTTCACCTTACCGATGAGGGTAAATTAATCGTGAAATTTACATCGCTACATCGCCCTCCGAGGTTACTTAAGAGAACTGATGGTTAACAAATTTTCAAAAATTGTACTCTTCTTTTAATTGTCGCACCGTACTTACATACATAATTATCTTATTAACCGCATGCTTTGGATGGTAATATACTTTTTTCAAGAGGCATTTTTAATGAAATTTGTCAAATGTCATTATTGATAACATTGAAAGATACGTACTTACCTCAATGGTAGAAATCCGTTTTATTTATTTGCACTATATCTGCAAGCCAAGCCAAGTCAATATCATTGATTTATTAACCTCTCCAACAAATTGTGGCACGCATCCACACCCACCTCACCTCGACAGTGGAGGTCCCATCGAAGCATGACAGGAGCCTTGTTGGGCGGACATTGGCAAACCCCTTCGGAACAATACATTTCGTGGTTTCGACATCTTAATGTGGAATTACAAGGGGCCAAATAGTCGGCATGGGATCTCACTGCGAGTACATTAATTAATTCAAAATATGTATATAATTTAAACCATTGGAGGAGAATGGTTTCTTTCTAGTCAATTTATCAGTGTTTTAATTTTTTGCATTTTCTGCAGCTCCATACGTCCACCAAATAACTCCGTTTTTTTAAGATTTACCATGAACCGAACAGTTCCTCACCGGAAATTGAGTTAAATACCTGCGGAGGACACGGCGAGGACGGCCGTTATGCTGGCAATTAATACACCAGCAATTTTCAACATTGTGGGGAGGACGGGTGCACTTTTAAGTCCTTTCTCGATACTAGCAGTCTATTGAGTTGCACAAAATTTAATTTCGATCAGGTTCATGTTTGGCGAACAAATAAAATAGTTCCGAGATCGAAATGAGAGATATTTCAATTCCAAAATCCATTATTAGATATTGTCCTTTTTAAGTTGCGTGGTCCACGAAAATAATGTATACAGATTTTCTCATTTTAATTTCCTGTCACGAAATAATTTGCAAATGTTGGCAATACAAAGTGAAATATAATACCCAATTCATAGCTTCAAAAATACATACATAGTTACATATTTAAGCCTAGTATCTTACATAAGTATCTGTCCACGAGAAAACTCGGGCTATTGGCAACACTTTAAAAGGGTTCTGTTATTGTACCCTCTTACAAGGGAACCTTAAGTACTGTCACCTCTCGATTTCCTTCGGAATAGCCTTAATCGACAGATAATTTAGTGAAACAAAAACTTTGTCATAGAACATGCGGTGCAAAATCGCGTTTTCGCGAAATATTTGGCGAGAGCTGCACCAAAACCTGCCATTTGCCCAAAGCTTTTAACATAGCCACCAGCCCTTCGAATGATGAAATGAACTTTATAGAATCTCAATAAATTATATTTGTACCCGTCCGCGTAATTTCAGCCAGATCACGAATATGCAAAAAATGATGCAAAGATTCGCAAATTTTTTGCAAATTGCGAAAATATAAAAATATCCGCAAATTTGAATTTCTTGGTTTTTTTAATTCAACAAATTGATCAGTTTAACTGATATAAAATATACTTTTGTCATTGCAAAAAATTTGCACACATTTTCAAAAAATTGAACTTCGCAATTTTTCATGAAAATAAATTAAATAATCTATTTTTACGTGGTTTTCGTAATTATTTGTGGTATTTATTTTTACAAGTTGCAAAAACTTGGTGCAATTTTATAGTTCAATATGTAGAATTTTTTTGCAATGTTAGCATGTTTTAATTGTTCAACAAATTAGCTTTTTTTATTCTCTCATACCAGCATATATGACAATTCTTAAGTTTCTATAAAAAGCAGAATTTAAAAATTGTAAACTTCAATTTTTTGCAAATTTTTGTAATTTTTTGGCAATCAGAAAAGTATACTTTATATCAGTTAAACTGTATACTTTATATTTAATGTTTCTTATTGTTGAGATAAGAATTAAATGTTCTGTAATTCCTTATTCTCAAGTTTACATTTAATTTTAATTTTGCATTCAGTTTTTTGTTATTGTGTGTATTTGCCAAGTTTTTCAAATTTACCAGACACTAAAACCGATTTGAAACCGGGTTTCAACCGGTTTTGAACATAATAGAAAACCGGTTTTCTAACATTTTCCAAAATTCGGTTAATCAGAAAACTGATTTTACCATACTTTTAAACATCGGATTAATCGAAAAACCTAATTTAACAAAATTTCAAGAATGGAAATAATCGAAAAACCGTTTTTTCAAAATGTCCAATTTTGGACGCCCTAGTTTAATGCATAAATCAAGCAAAAAATAAAAAATACCGTAAAAATAAAACATTGCAGGCCATCCTTGTCCTTCTGCTAACCATTCTGACACCGGTGTCCCAACCACAGCTCCCAGAATCGATCCACAAAGAGCCAGCGTGACGAGTTGTGTCCTATCCAAGGGAGGTGCCCACCATTTCCAGATTTCATGACTGGCCGGAAACGTCACACCGTCAGCAATGCCTTGCAGAATTCGGACAATTATGAGGCATTGAGGTCCAAGTCGGGCAGCCGTAGGGACGAAAAAATGTAAAATAGCGGTTGCCCCAATGCCAGTTCCGAATATTCTGAAAATTGTTCAACATACTATGTTAAGGGTCCATTGTATGTGGGTTTTCAGCTTTTTTAATTTTCGTGTCTCAGCTTTCCCTTCTATCATATATTCAAGTGTCAATTTTGAAACCGATTTATTCATATCCGTGGGTTTTTTATAATATGAAGATTTTAATATACAAAGTTAGAAGTCTGGAATTTTGATTTTTTCTTCCATAAAGACATAAATATGAAATAGATGAAAACTAATAAGTAAGAACTAAATATTTTCTCACTGAAGAAAAAAATCAAAATTCTAGACTCCTAACTTTGTAAAGCTACAAATTATCGATTTTTAGGTGCATTAAAATCTTCATATTTTAAAAACCCAGGGATTTGAATAGGTTTCAAAATCCCCATTTGAAAAAGGGTAAGCTGTGACATATGACATAACAGTTCAAACTCAAAACCCGCATGCAAGTGCACCTTAATACTAAGAGTGACGATCACATAATCTTTTAAAGTTTTCTATAACAAATTAATTTACATATTCGCCTTATATCTTGCTGCCAGGAATCCTCCCGGAATCTGAGATATTAAGCAGCCAATAAAATATAAAGTCTCGATGAGCCGCATGGTTTCCCACTCCCAGTCAAATTCCGGTATCTATTTAAAAAAACAGGACCGTTTTTTAAAAATATTTTTAACAAATTTTGTGTCGCTCACCCGTGGTATTTTCTTAACTGTAATCATGTGAACGATGGCAATTCCCATGCTGCATCGTAATCCGAATGATATCAGAAAACCTTTTAATCGAAGCGAAATATGTAATTGTACACAAAAAATTAAGGGGTGTGGATATAGTTAGGTAACACTCATTTTTTCCTCTCGCAGATAATCGGGAGGAAGAGTTCGCGAAATTATGTTGTGCGAAATTGCTGGATAAACTTGAACCAGCAAACCAACAAAAGTTTGGAGAAATGCCTCAAGTTTCTCAAAATATCGCAATGACGTAGATGACGTGAGTAAGCTTAAATAGTTGCATAATAGTCTCCACCCAAGAATTAGCCCAGGTTGTACGCATTTTTCAAAATATATTATTTTATATAAAGTCCAAAAATGAAATCCATCGTATTATATTTTTGCGTAAGGTTTTACAAAAAAGTTTAACATTTAACTTACCCGGTAGGGTATCCCAAAACAGGCTGGGTATTCTGGGTACCGGGTAACTGCCCGGTAGCCGGGGCAACCTTATTTGAGAATCAGGCCTTTTCTTTTTGCAGCGAGATTGGTTACCGAATTATATCCACACCCTTTACATATGTATGTACTTGCGAAACCCAATTTGGAAACTGTCATAGGTAGTAATTAATACATAATGTGGTCTGCGTCGCTTACCAAGGCTGGCTAAACACGCCAACAAATACCGCTTGGTCATGTCGCAAACAGCACGGCTTCACTTGGGCTTGGCTTAATTGTGATAAAAATAAACGTTTTCAGTTATTTTCTTCCGCTTTTAGCCCGAAAATTTACTCACCTCGTTCAAATAATTAAATTCTTACCGTAAAATGTACATATATCGAACAATGCACTGGTTTACAAACCACTCAGTCCCAGCTGAGCTTAAGGTCTTTCCCATCTTTCTGTTAAATTGCATAAAATGCTGCATAAACTGAAAACTAACAAGGAAACATACCGAGGTGTCCAACGAGTTAAGGGTCGACACCTATACCAAAATGACCACAATACATGACTTATTAAACAAACTGAAGGAATTTCCGTGTAAAATTCACTTTTCGTCAAGTTGTGACGATATTTGTGACGAGCGCATGACCATCGGGTTGCCAGAGAGGGAGAGGTCGGCCGCTGAACGATCACGTCGAACACAGAGAAGCGTCGTCTTCACGTCGTCTTCAGAGATTTCAAATTCTATCAAATTTTGAAAACCACTTGAAATTTTGAAAAAAAATTGAAATTTCTTCAAAATTTCAAAATTTTCTCACAATTTCAAAAATTTCTCAAAATTTCAAAAATTTCTTCAAAATTTCAAAATTTTCTCAAAATTTCAAAATTTTCTCAAAATTTCAAAATTTTCTCACAATTTCAAAAATTTCTCAAAATTTCAAAAATTTCTTCAAAATTTCAAAATTTTCTCAAAATTTCAAAATTTTCTCAAAATTTCAAAATTTTCTCAAAATTTCAAAATTTTCTCAAAATTTCAAAATTTTCTCAAAATTTCAAAATTTCTCAAAATTTCAAAATTTTCTCAAAATTTCAAAATTTTCTCAAAATTTCAAAATTTTCTCAAAATTTCAAAATTTTCTCAAAATTTCAAAATTTTCTCAAAATTTCAAAATTTTCTCAAAATTTCAAAATTTTCTCAAAATTTCAAAATTTTCTCAAATTTTCAAAATTTTCTCAAAATTTCAAAATTTTCTCAAATTTTCAAAATTTTCTCAAAATTTTTTCAAAATTTCAAGTTGTTTTCAAAATTTGAAATCTCCGAAGACGACGACGCTTCTCTGTGGTCGACCTGATCGTTCAGCGGCCGACCTCTCCCTCTCTGGCAACCCGATGGTCATGCGCTCGTCACAAATATCGTCACAACGTGACGAAAAGTGAATTTTACACGGAAATTCCTTCAGTTTGTTTAATAAGTAATGTATTGTGGTCATTTTGGTATAGGTGTCGACCCTTAACTCGTTGGACACCTCGGTATGTTCCCTTGTAAGATATGCACGGGACATATGTACACAAAGATGTGTAAATATGTAATATATCTGCATGCATTGACTTACACATAAATATGTACAGAAAATGCAATTACGTTTCGGGAACATTCATATATTACGTCACCATTTTATGTGGTGGGTTGGTGGTTGAAGACTTCTTATCCTTCCCATGTTAAAATTCCCCATCCCTTAATGTTAACGTTGAGTGGGTGGGGGCTAACCTCGAGAATTGTTGATGACGTAATATTTGGATGACCCCTAACATAAATAAATATGCAGATGTGGAACTTGGGGATCAGTTCAACATGCAGATGTATGAAGAGGTACATACATACATATGTAAGTACGTCACAGGGTGATGATTAGTCGGGATTTGTTGCAAAAATCTTCAGCTCGCTTCCCCCTCTCTCTACAGAATATGTAAATATGTCCTACTGGCATGCATGAAAATCGCACTTTACGATGTACATATAACTGCCACAATTAAGTAGAGGGATATGGATCAAAATTATAATAACGCTTTACAATTAGGTATAGAGAAATTATGACATTTTACATTCATAGTTGTTATATTTGTCCACCAACTTTAACGCTGTTAGCATATTAAAGATATAAACCGTGGCAAACGAAACGTATTAAAGGGGTGAAACCAAACGGAATTGTCTTTGTGGCACTCCCACAACGTCTTTCAGCAATTTTACACTGGTTTTCTACGCATTAAAAATATATGCTTTATCATTGTTAAGTAATTGATTGCAGTGTGATGTAGTTGGCCTCCTGTTTCTGCACAGTAGAGAGAAATGAGGATGCTAAATTCTCAACTAAGCCATCGACCCAGCCAGCCAGCGACACACTCGCGTCCTTTATACAGTTTAGATGTAAGTTGAATCTTTTTGACGGGCAGATGTTGTCTGTTCATTGACATGTTTATCATTCGCGATGTACAATTGCAATACAGGTGCGAACAAGTTTAGTGCTAAACTTAGGCAAATGTTTCCACATTTGCGCATATCTGCTGCTTGCCAAAGTTTGCCAATTTGTCATTAAACTAAGGAAATAGATTAAATTATTAAATTAAGGAAAAATGACTTTCGTATTAAGATAATAAAGTGTCCATCACCATCCAGCTAACCTTCTTGGATTATTCATCACGAGACGGAACCCTAATTTGGCATGCGATTTATTTTGCGAGGTCATAAGTATTCACTTCCCAATTATCGCGTGATACTTATGTCGCTGGACCTGAATTACGGATATGTGTTTATTTACATGACAAGATAGAAATCTGTACACACCAGAGAAGTGTCGTGTGCAGATTCGTATTAGTAAAGATATAACGGGAATTACGCGATTACCCGGATCAAAAGACAAACACCGAGTCAGAAAGATTGAGAGAGGAGAGTTAGAGGAGCGAACAGCGACTATAGAAGGTAAGAATTGTTTAGCTTAGTTTGTACACTAGAAATAAGTAGGTTTAGCTTAGAATAAGCGAACCAATGTGAACTTAAATAAATAGCATCTAAAACATTTACAAGTATTCAAGGGAACTATTATTTAATCACCCGCACAGCCGTAACACGTAACTTAGTTCTACGACGTATTTTCTTGCGACACCAGAACCTCACCAGAACCTCACCAGAACCTTTTGATAAATCGTGTCCAAATAGATTTCACCCTCCAAGCGATACTCCTCCAATTGTGTTTCACATACTCGACCAGCGCCAGGCAGTAACATGCCGCTAAACAAGCCAGAAGTAACAAGAAAATGGTTTGAATACTGTCGCCTAGCCTGACCACCTGAAATGAAGCGGTGGCATATCGAATTTTCCCAATTTTTTCAACTTTTACCTCCCTTTCGCGAAGTATGGTTTGGTTCAGGGTAAGCTGATCATACAAAAAGTTGTGAATCCCAGAACTCAGAAAGATCTTAAGATACTGCAGCATCCGTGATTCCCTCCAAACCTCAATATCCCATCCGATCAGCTTAATAAAAATTATTCTCTCTCCACGATACCAGTTTTTAGAGGGGTAATTTCTCCTCATGTAGACCAAATAGTCGTCGACCTCGCTCGGTACTCCGGCATAAGCGGACCTGTCGCACTGTAAGATTTCCTCCTCAATCACTCGATTGATCTCCAAGGTGGTTGTAGTTTTGTTAAAAAGTCTAAATTTCTCCGGAAACCAACGAATTCTTGGGTTAATCATGGAATACAGGAGTCGCCGTGAATTTTGGGGATAGTATTCATAATCGTGACTAAGAAATATTTGGTCATAAAAGTAGGTGGTGAATATATAATTCTCGAGAGAATTCAATCCAAACCAGGATGGTACGAATCGAGACAAAATTGTGTAGCAGAATCCTCCCGAGTTCTCAGCAATCGGGATAATTGCAAAAGTCGTGTTTATGTTCAGTTGTTTCATTGCACTCCATCTAAGGAGGAGAGTACGCCAACCTGATAATGACAGATCTTGATGTCCTTTGGATATATGGTAGTACCCCCTCTGAAAGTAAAAAGTGTGAAGCGGTTTGATGCCATGGCCCAATTTACGCCCGTCACACCCCTTTGAAGGCGCGCCCGATGCCAAACTAGCTGCACTAAAAAATTCGCCAAAAATCCAATTTTCTTCGGATTTTCATAATAGTTACATATTTATGATCCCAAATAGTTGCTTTGTCATATCAGATATCAATCTGAACTATTTTGGAATTTTGAATTTTTTCAAGCCATGCCCTTTTCAGGAAATATTCGAAAATATTGAAAATTTCTGAAAAGTTAATTTTGCAACTGAATATGATAAAGGGACTATCTGGGATCACAAATATATAATTATTATGAAAATCCGAACAAAATTGGATTTTTGGCGAATTTTTTAGTGCAGCTAGTTTGGCATCGGGCGCGCCTTCAAAGGGGTGTGACGGACGTAAATTTGGCCATGGCATCAAACCGCTTCACACTTTTTACTTTCAGAGGGGGTACTACCATATATCCAAAGGACATCAAGATCTGTCATTATCAGGTTGGCGTACTCTCCTCCTAAGTAAGATCATAGACGAATCAACCATTATCCGTGGTTTCTCCTGACAAGAGATTTTGTCGTACGTGTCGCCCGGTTCGGTGGGAAGGGGCGAGTTTAAATTGGTGATGAAAGTACTCAGGTAGCACGTGCTCAACAGCATGCCGACCAGAAGCCAGGGAACACTCAGGAATCGGAAGGGACAAAACGTGCTCAATTTTCTCGGGAGGTTGCTTACCTCGTCGATCAGGCAGCCGAAAAAGTATAAGAACAGCTTGAGAGTATAGAATTGTTTGTTTAAAGTGTAAAATCCTATTGAAAGGAGGCAAGCGGATAAGAAGAGCATGATAACTGTGATCATCCACACGATTGGATGGTAGGGAGTGAAATATAGGGAAAAGGAAAGCCCACTAGAAAACATGGAGCAGGAGAAAAATGAAATTCCCGAGAAACCTGTGATGACCGTTTTCCTCCTAAATACATAAAATGACGGGCCAAGAAATCCTGGAATTAAGTGGTAATACGTCGGGTAGAAGCAGGCTTCCGTGAGAACCTCTATGCACGATAGGGCATCCATAGTTGTGAATTTTTTAGTTACGTTAAGCTTCGTTAGGGCCGTTGAAAATAGGATTTCGTTGATTGGGTTTGCCAATCCAAACGCATAGCCGATCCAATGCTGCTCCGATTTTGTCGGGTAGTTTAGTGGA